TACCCAGATAGAGAGTCTATATAACTGTCGGTAGGCTGTTGGGTCCAGAGGTAGTTTTTTGAACCCCCGGACTTTGTCCGTCAGTTCATAAAGATGCCTTCTGACGTGCCGTCGCGAGGGTTCTTCCGCAAGCAGATGTCTGTTCGGGTACCTAACACGGTGACACCCTACTAGGAATTGCTTGCAGAGCATTGTGTTATGCTCCTTAATCGGGAGCATATTGGCCTCGTTGCGCAGGTGATGTTTCGGCAACATCAGAAGGCATCATGTCGCTGTCTGAGTGCCGTGTTTTGGCAAGTCTGCAGTTTCATCCACTGCGTCCTGCTAGTCCCCGATAACCACACAGGCGTTGCATAGTTCAGAACCGGGCGGCCAATTGCCTTGTACGTTGCCAGCAACGTTTCTTTGTTCTTTGTCTTAGGGGAGGGCGTTAGGCTCCGTGCAGTGACGAAGCGAGAAAGCTCGGTGAAATAACCATTATCGAACAATCGTCAGCATAAGAGACAATCGAGACTACCTCTGGTGGTTGAGGGAGCTTAGAAATGTAAATGTTGAACAGTAGTGGGGAAAGGGCGCCACCCTGTTGAACTCGCTGTTTTATTTTCCTAGGTTTGCTCGATTTGTCTCTAAAGATCACTGACGACCACTCAGGTATTTCGCAGCCCATCGTTTGTCTTCTAGTAGCGTCACTTGAATAGTTCTATATAGCTATCGGGCGAGAAGACTCCTTTGTTGGACGGTTTCCCCGGTGGACAATCACCTCACGGTTGACCAAAGCTTGCTCACACCAGAGGCGAAGTTACAGGTCTTCAGATGGTCTTCCCACTTCTTCCGCTTATGTACGTTCACTAGTTGCCGAATCTCCGAGTTGAGATCCCTGGTACGGGGATTTACGGGATCGGCCTGGCGAAGGGATTAACCTTTTTGTTATTAAATTTGTCGTTACAGTTTTGAATTTGGAAGGAATTGGTTTTAAATTTTGTTCACTCTACAAAGACACAAAATTGTTCACTCTATAGAGTACTCAATGGAAAAATTTTCATGTTCACTCTTTCGAGGTGTTCGTAGCATCGGGTGTTCACTCCAGCCAGATAACACTGTATTTCAAATTATTGAGAGTGTAATTGATAGTTTTCTTTATCGCAAAAATGGAGTCCGATATGTCAAACGTGCTGGAATGAGAGTTAAAATCTTGACATAAAACATGGAATGATTCGTTTAGTTCAAAACTAGTATTGCATGGCTTCAAAAATAGAGGTTTAAAGTGTCTTGAAACTCGAGAGGGAACATTTAAGTTTACCTCAGCCAGAAGGGCTGGGCTACTAATCAAGCCTGTCATTAATTTTACGATAAATATTATACCTAGCATTTCTCTACGACTTGCGAGTGTAGGCAAATTTATGAGATTTAGTCGATTAGTGTAAGGGGGAGATTGTAGTCTGAATCCCAGTTATAATCACGCAATGCAAAAATCAATAATTGTTTTTGAATTGATTCAGTGCTATCTGAATGAACTTGGTACCGGGGCTTCCAAACAATAGATCCGCATCAGAGATCAGTTGCGGTGTATCGCATTTTCGAATACACCGCAACGACATTTATTTACTGTACCACTCAAACTCTATAATACTTAGTAACGAAATCTACCGCCACCGCAAGCTCAAATAATGTCGTGTTTGAGTGTTTTGTGCTCGATCAAAGCGTCGTTACTGCATATTGTGGCACCGCATTTTCATGTCGGCTTCGGCTATGCGGTGGTATGAGCGGCGTTTAAACAACGCAAACATCGCATTACTTGCGGATATGCTTGTTTGAATGCGGTGCACCGCATTCTAGTATAGGTCTAACTAAAGTGGTAAAAAGAGCTTTTGTAACATAAGGATCTTTGAACTCTTTTGACCATCGCTTTACAAATGCAAAAACGCTTTTGGCTTATTGACTGTAATATTAATATGAAGGTTAAAATTGAGTTTGGAATCCATTGTGATACCAAGATCGACAAAATTGGATACCTGCTCCAGATTATAATTTGAAATTGAATAAACAGCTGGTGGAACTGCCCTTCGAGAGAAACACATAACTTCACATTTTTTAAGGTTAAGTGGCATATAATTTGCATTACACCAACTAACCACGTTGCTCAGATCCGCTTGTAACAAGACCTTTCTTCGATAGAGGACAATGTTTTGAAAAGTTTCACATCACGGCATACATTAAAATTTTAGAATATTTTATTATAGAAGAAGCCTGAGGAACTCCTGAAGAAACTTTAACTATTTATGTTCTATCGGAGAGGTAAGAAGAGATCCATTAAGAAGACTGGGCTGAAAGCCGGTTAGGTCGAGTTTACTTTACGGATGAGTAACGAGTGACATACTTTGTCAAAAGCTTTACTGAAATCGGTGTATATTACGTCGGTATGAGCATTTTCTCTAAAACCGTTTGAGACATAAATTGTAAACTCCAATAAATTAGTGATAAGAGGCATTTCATGTCACCGCGGTCACCTCAGTGCGCGACCTCTCAGGATTTGGTGAAAGTTGAAGAGATTGAAGGTCTCGGTGACAAGAAATACACATGCAGCATATTTTGCCGATATAACGTAGGGTTGCCTATTTACACTGGACTTAAATTTTAAGAAAACGTCATACATAAGATCTGCTTCATTTGAAATCTGGCAGTACTCTACATAGCACAACTTTGTTATCGACTACTCGGTCAGCCGTTTATTTAGTGTGCTGATATTGCAATCGTTGTTTTTTATTACAGGTAATTTTCATATGCGTAACTTAAAAAATAAGTGATTTGGAGAGCAAAGAACTTCAGCAAAGAAAATTGATTGTGGACGAATTCATGCAAAATCTACACATCTCCCAATGCCGGTTAGTAAAATTGCTGAAAATTGGAGGTCGACGGTACAAAATGTATTGTCAAATATCAACAAAAATTGCAGCATTGAGAGAAAGGTGGAATCTGGCGGAAAATCAGGCACTATAAATAAAATAGTGTAGAAGGATGTTCTAAGGACTTTGAAAATGAATCCGAATCCTTCTGAACATGTTGTTGCACCTGGAGTGTTGTTCTGAGAACCTGTATTGTTTTGGCCTGATTTGGCAACAAGCCATTGTTCAAAAGAAGCGCAAGAGCTTTATACGCAAAATGGAATCAACATTGTACTAAATGCAGTGCTGCAAACGTCCGAGCGTTATTGGGCCCATATGAAATCAAAATTAAAAAAACAAAATGCACGGCTTCAAGAATAACGCAGTTCCGCAGAATGTGGCGAAAACAGGCTCAATCGATCAACGAAAGGGATTTCCAAGTATTAATGGCGGGTGTCATCTCTAAAGTACGGGTATTTTGACGTGGAAATTAATTCTAATAATATTTGTAAATCTTTCATTTAAATAGAAATAAAAAAAGGTTCTAAAAAAGCTTCGACTGAATTATTCACATTTAAATTAGTTTTTTTGTTATTTAATACCTACCAGATTTCAACTGAAGCAACCTTTCTTTAAAGTGCTGTATACATATTGAAGACCTTTTAACGAAACTTAATGATAAAACATGTATTTCTTCTGTCTTATTATGGGCTTTAATTGTACATTTTTTACATTAACGTATAAAAAACAAAAAAAAAATAATAAGTAAACATTTTTCTTTTTGAGTTGTTTTTTGATTATAGCATTTTTAATGTCGGCCGCTGTGGTGTAGTGGTAAACAGTGCGCGCTTTCACTCACCAGCACCTGGGTTCAAGCCCTGGTCAAAGCAACATCGGAAAAAATAAATTAGAAAAAGGTTTTTTCTTAATAGCGGTCGTCCCTCGGCAGGCAATGGAAAACCTCCGAGTGTATTTCTGCCATGAAAAACAGCTCCTCATAAAAGTACAATCGCCGTTCGGAGTCGGCGTAAAACTGTAGGCCCCTCCGCTTTGTGTGACAATATCAAGGCGCACGCCACAAGGTGGAGGAGAAGCTCGGCCAAATACTAACATTTGTGTAAGCGGCAATCTATTATTATTATAGCGTTTTTAAAAATTTAAATTTTACATAAAAAGATTGTCTATAAAGTCAACTTTGAGTACCCAAATGGGCGTAATGGGCTCCTTATGCGTTTGGACTCTAGATCGTCTAACGCTCGAGCAATATGATAAATGGACATTGAAATTTTATGAAATTGTATATTTGTGAAAGAGAAGGGGTGTGTAAAAAACAAAAACAATATGAATAAATGATATCACCTTTACTAAAGGTCTGAAATCATGAAAATCCCTTTAAGGAAATGGCAGAATTGAACTTTGTTGCAAGTTCACATGGGAAGTCTGCTTACCACGTGATTGGAGGAAATTTTAAGAGACTAGCAGCTAGAGCAAGTCTTCAACTCCTGATGTTACAACAAATTCGTACACTCGAACCTATAAAAAAATAACTGCAACAAACTTTCAGTGGACTTTATTTCGACTATGACCACGTGCCAATTACTAGGTCCATTCTTTTGCAACCGAGCTACAAAAGAACACTCGCTGAAATGACGAAATACATGCAAAGCAACAACACAAACTCGGCTATTTATTCGGGTTCAGCCAGGTCGGTTAAAAAATACGCTACCTGAAGAGTAGTGTTGTTAAGTGATAAAACTGCTCTATTGTGAATTGTTAATGGGAAAGTGGAGAGGGACATTTTTGTTTTCGTATATACATGTTTTATATTTTAAATAAGTATATATATTACGCAAATACCTCGCATAATTACTAATTTCTATTGTTTTAGTGTCTAAATCCTGTTGAACTAATCACATGTTTCTTGCCAGCTACGAGCAGGGTTGCTTAAGAAAATTTTACCAGAGTTGAGCGTTCTTTTGTCGCTCGCTTACAAAAAAATGCAGCTACTTTAATCCTATTTTAAGCTAGTTTAAAAGGTTAAATAACATCAAGTTAGGGAACTTCATATCCTTATTTAACGAATTTTTAAATCAATAAATATTTTTTTCTTTCTTCGCCCGGAATTCATTTTCCACCTGGAACGGAATATCGTATCATGAACTCCGGGCGAAAATTGTTTCACTTCTAACAATTCGAACATCAACAGCTGTTCTTACAAAAGCTGATATTTGCCAACAGTACGCATAATTATACTATAAATAAGTTTTGAGAGTTTTTATTAATATTGGAGTTATATTAAACAAAAATGTTTCGCATAGCTTAACGCTCACTAATTGAAGAAAATAGAGAAGTGGAAAATGGTCAAATCGAAAGAATAATTCGCCGGAACTTAAGAGATCGCTCTAATCCTCTGGATTTACCAAATGAATTGTAAAATTTGTTAGTTTATTCATATTTTAGGTATTTATTAATCTAAAGATATTGTTTATAGGTTTGTGCAGCACTATAGGGTAAATAAATCCGTATTTATTTATCTGTTAGATGAGCTAAAGTTGGCATTGCCAAAAGGCAGAAAAGCATTTGCTATCCCTATGCATATAAAACTTGCGGCGTGCTTGAGGTTTTTTGCTGAAGGAGGGTACCAAAAAGGAATTGCTCGGGATAGAGGATTTTCATTGGGACAGTCTTCTTTCAGCAAGGTGTTGGCAGAGGTATTGGACGCACTTCAACGTAAATTGTGTCTAAAATGGATAAAATGGCCTACACATGAGGAGAGAAGAGAAATTTCTCAACATTTTTATACGAAGTACAGGATACCCGGGGTCATTGGATGTGTTGACGGGACAAATGTTGGCATTATTGCTCCAGAACAAAATAAGCATTTATATTATAACCGAAAAGGATTTTACAGTTTAAACGTCATGATCGTAAGTTTTGATTTTGTTTTACTTACATATATGCATTTTAATCTTATTAATTTAAACTTTTATTTTAAGGTATGTGACGATGAACAAAGAATTCGGTGCATAGATGCCAAGCATCCCGGATCNCGGGTTCAGCCAGGTCGGTTAAAAAATACGCTACCTGAAGAGTAGTGTTGTTAAGTGATAAAACTGCTCTATTGTGAATTGTTAATGGGAAAGTGGAGAGGGACATTTTTGTTTTCGTATATACATGTTTTATATTTTAAATAAGTATATATATTACGCAAATACCTCGCATAATTACTAATTTCTATTGTTTTAGTGTCTAAATCCTGTTGAACTAATCACATGTTTCTTGCCAGCTACGAGCAGGGTTGCTTAAGAAAATTTTACCAGAGTTGAGCGTTCTTTTGTCGCTCGCTTACAAAAAAATGCAGCTACTTTAATCCTATTTTAAGCTAGTTTAAAAGGTTAAATAACATCAAGTTAGGGAACTTCATATCCTTATTTAACGAATTTTTAAATCAATAAATATTTTTTTCTTTCTTCGCCCGGAATTCATTTTCCACCTGGAACGGAATATCGTATCATGAACTCCGGGCGAAAATTGTTTCACTTCTAACAATTCGAACATCAACAGCTGTTCTTACAAAAGCTGATATTTGCCAACAGTACGCATAATTATACTATAAATAAGTTTTGAGAGTTTTTATTAATATTGGAGTTATATTAAACAAAAATGTTTCGCATAGCTTAACGCTCACTAATTGAAGAAAATAGAGAAGTGGAAAATGGTCAAATCGAAAGAATAATTCGCCGGAACTTAAGAGATCGCTCTAATCCTCTGGATTTACCAAATGAATTGTAAAATTTGTTAGTTTATTCATATTTTAGGTATTTATTAATCTAAAGATATTGTTTATAGGTTTGTGCAGCACTATAGGGTAAATAAATCCGTATTTATTTATCTGTTAGATGAGCTAAAGTTGGCATTGCCAAAAGGCAGAAAAGCATTTGCTATCCCTATGCATATAAAACTTGCGGCGTGCTTGAGGTTTTTTGCTGAAGGAGGGTACCAAAAAGGAATTGCTCGGGATAGAGGATTTTCATTGGGACAGTCTTCTTTCAGCAAGGTGTTGGCAGAGGTATTGGACGCACTTCAACGTAAATTGTGTCTAAAATGGATAAAATGGCCTACACATGAGGAGAGAAGAGAAATTTCTCAACATTTTTATACGAAGTACAGGATACCCGGGGTCATTGGATGTGTTGACGGGACAAATGTTGGCATTATTGCTCCAGAACAAAATAAGCATTTATATTATAACCGAAAAGGATTTTACAGTTTAAACGTCATGATCGTAAGTTTTGATTTTGTTTTACTTACATATATGCATTTTAATCTTATTAATTTAAACTTTTATTTTAAGGTATGTGACGATGAACAAAGAATTCGGTGCATAGATGCCAAGCATCCCGGATCATGTCACGACTCGAGAATTTGGGCAACAAGCCAATGCAGAGAAGTGTTGCAAAGAGAAATTCCTGGCAGTCATTCGAATATGTGGCTTTTAGGGGATGCTGGGTATCCACTAGAGCCTTGCCTGATGACACCCTTCAGGAGCCCTCAACTGGGCTCTACTCAGCAAAATTTTAACGATGTGCACGCAAAATGCCGAAATATAGTGGAGAGGACTATCGGCGTACTTAAAAATCGTTGGAGGTGTTTGTTAGCAGCTAGAAAAATCTCAAAAAGTTAAAAGTTTAGATACAACTTTGCAGATTTTTTATAATTTTTGCACAACGCTCGAAATGTGTATTTATATGGTGGTTGTTATATAATGAGCTATATTTTTATGAAAAAATAATAAGCATGAAATAAACAAAAGAAAAAAAGCCAAAATTGATCCAAACGTTGCTGTGAGTGTATCGAAAATGTGTATTTATATGGTGATTGTTATATAATGAGCTATATTTTTATGAAAAAATAATAAACATGAAATAAACAAAGGTAAAATAGCCAAAATTGATCACAACGTATAATAAAGTGCAGGTTTGAAATTGCTTGAAAAACGCGTTGATTTTGGCAACTTTTTTTGCGGACAGTATTATTTTCTGCCATAAAAAAAAAACTGGAATATACTTTGCATGGAAGAAACTGCGCGAAAAAGTTGCCAAAAGTCAACGTGGTTTTTGGCAAGTTCAACTGTGCACTTTATTACACATATGTACTACATTTGAATGGGCGATAAAACTGCATACTTAGAATTTGGTTAAAAAGTCTGAATAGAAAGTTGCAAATTAGAATGCAAATTTATTAAATTTTCCCAAGTTTTGTACAAAGTTAAGAGATTTTATTTTTATGTTTTTTTGTAGTATAAACTATATTTTTATAAAATATTAACAAAAAGAAGTTAGATTGAAAACTATGCATACATTGCAAACAATTTTCTGTGCCAAAACTTTTGTCCGACACTGTAATTTGAATTTTGTATATTATTCGTGAACTAGTGTAGCTTTTCATTAAAGCTTTATTAAAAAAATAAAATGTAGACCATACAACACAAACTCAGATGTACACTCGGTTCCAAATGTAAGTGTGCACCTTATTGTAATATGAAATTCACAAAATTCATGCAAAATTTTTTTCATTAATTATTTATGAAAATATACATAGTTCATTCTATAACAGATATCATATAAATCAAAGTTTCAGGCTTTATATAAGGTTCACAAAAATTCAAACAATTTTAATAAATATTTAAAAATCGTAACTTTTATTTCATAAGCTCGAGGCCCAGAGAAAACATAAACCACAGGTTTTAGTTCAATAATTTTTACTGTCGATATTTATGTGGTTTATGTTTTCTCTGGGCCTCGAGCTTATCAAATAAAAATTATATTTAAAAATCTTTATTCAGAATTTCTAGAAAATTTTCGAGTACGCAGTTTTGTAGCCTGTTCAATTTTTGTGCAACAAAGTGCAAGTTTCAAGTCGCTAGAAATTACCCATGATTTTTTATAATTTTTTTTTTGAGGTGGGTGTTGCGGATTTTCTTCCGTATAAAAATAGATTTTGCTATGGAAGAAAACGCGCAACACCCTCCAAAAAAATTCTAAAAAATCAACAGTAATTTCTAGCGACTTGAAACTTGCACTTTGTTGCACAAAAATTGAACAGGCTACAAAACTGCGTACTCGAAAATTTTCTAGAAATTCTGAATAAAGATTTTTAAATATTTATTAAAATTGTTTGAATTTTTGTGAACTTTATATAAAGTCTGAAACTTTGATTTATTTGATTTCTGTTATAGAATGAACTATGTATATTTTCATAAAGAATTAATGAAACAAATTTTGCATGCATTTTGTGAATTTCATATTACAATAAGGTGTACACTTACATTTGACACCGACGGTATACGCACATTATTATTTAGAATTTTTCCAATTTAATTTCTTCTATTTTTTCCATTGCGGCATTATGTCGCTTCTGCTCTGCTAATGCTTGATGTTTAAATCATTACTGGACTTTTTTATTTTCAATTCTTCCTTTTTCAAATCGTTTGCACGTTCAAGTGCATGATATGTTCTCTTAAACATCATTAGTTCTTCTTTATTATGCTGCTTTATTTCAACAACAGCCTCTGAAATTGTAGCACACAATTTTTCTTGATTTTCCAACTCTTTTTCGACTGATTCATCGACGAATTTTGGTTTTTTGCGTTTAGGGCAAGATGATGATAACGTACTTTCAACACCTACAGAGGCGGAACATTCGTTTGCTTCTTCTGACGATGACTGAATGCTGTCATTTAAATTTTGAGTTTCGTTCACATTGAATTCACTGATTGAAAATCCGAAATCGGATCCATCCTCAACGCCCTCGACCGCCTCACTTCCACCAATCAACTGAAAAATAGCTTTCTCAGTAGGAGACAAAGGCACCTGTGGCTCTACTTTGCTGGNATCCTCAACGCCCTCGACCGCCTCATTTCCACCAATCAACTGAAAAATAGCTTCCTCAGTAGGAGACAAAGGCACCGTCTGGTTAGGTCCACCACCTGTGGCTCTACTTTGCTGGAGATTCTGTGCGCATTTTTTTCTAACGTAGCGCTTTTGGTCATTCCACACCTGATTTGAGTTTGCAAAAGTTTGCATTAACATAGAGCCAGTTTTCCAGTACACGGCTGTAGTTTAAACTTAGTTTAAAAGCTCGAGCTAGCTGGCTTAAACTAAAATTATCCAATCAAATATCAGACAGCTTTAAAATATGAACGTAGTTTACGCGATCTAAGTTTAAACTGGCATTGAAAACTGACCCCTAGAAACGTATAACATTGGGCCGTATGCATAAAACCTAAGTAAATGCTTTTGCTTAAAATTTCAGACCTTTTACTCGATTTTTTCAAACAAATTTAAGTGAAAGGTATGAACTAGTTTACTGAACTGAGTTTAAACTAGCTTAAAATAGGATTAAAGTAATTGGCACGTAGTCATACTCGAAATAAAGTCCACTGAAAGTTTGTTGCAGTAATTTTTTACAGGCATCCCATTGTAAACATACAGCACCCCATTGGTAGAGGGCTTGGGGTGTACGAATTTGTTGTAACATCAGGAGTTGACTACGTGCTCTAGCTGCTAGTCTCTTAAAATTTCCTCCAATCATGTCATAAGCAGATTTCCCATGTGAACTTGCAACAAAGTTCAATTCTGCCATTTCCTTGAAGGGATTTTCATGATTTCAGACCTTTAGTAAAGTTAATATCATTTCCTTTTTGGTTGTTGTTGTTTCCGACAGGGTGGGTGTATGATGTATTTTGGAACGAACTTCCGTCATCCCTTGTCAAATTTGGTTTGGAGACAAACCGGTTTCGGCGTTGTGCCATCTTCAGTGTCATTTTTCGTGCTCGCCAAATTTGAGAAGGGATGACGAAAATTCGTTCCAAAATACATCTTAATATCATTTATGCATATTGTTTTTGTTTTTTCCACACCTCTTCTTTTTCAAAAATATACAATTTCATAAAATTTCAATGTCTTTATCATATTAGACGATCTAGAGGCCAAACGCATAAGTAGCCCATTACGCCCATTTGGGTACTTAAAGTTGACATTATAGACAATGTTTTTATATAAAAATAACAATTTTTAAAAACGCTATAATCAAAAAAAAAAATCAAAAAGAAAAATGTCTACTTAATTTGTTTTTGTTTTTTATACGTTGCACATTAATGTAAAAAATGTACAATTAAAGCCCATAATAAGGCGGAAGAAATTCATTTTTTATCATTAAGTTTCGTCAAAAGGTTTCCAAGATACAACACTTTAAAGAAAGGTATATATGTCGTTTTATTAAAGTTTAAGTTCCGTGTAAATAGGCAACCCTACGTCATATCGGCAAAATATGCTGCACGTATATTCATGTCACCTAGACCTTCAATCTCTTCAACTTCCATCCAAATCCTGAGAGGTCGCGCACAGAGGTGGCCGCGGTGACATGAAATGGCTCATAATAGATTTTCCTTTAGAAACCCCGTGTTGAGATTGTGAAATTGAAGGAGATATAGAATATGTCAGCTGATTAACAATAATTGCTTCGAATAATTTGGGGATAGCGGAGAGCTTCGCTATGCCTCGATAGTTTTCTATAGAAGACCTGCTGCCGTTTTTGTGAAGTGGTATAATGAAAGATTCCTTCCAAGCTGAAGGAAAAACAGCATGTTTTAGTGACAAATTGAATAGAGTTGTTAAAGGCTCAGCGCAGTTTTTAAGGAAACAGGTCGGATTATGATCAGCTCCAGGCATAAATGACGCTTTTAAGGTTTTTAAATAGTGGAAAACTTCATCGGAAGAAATTACTGGAATAAAAGCTGAGTTAATTGTACAAAGTTCATACGGATAGTCTCCACTCGTAGAGGAGTCTACCGAATAATTGGACCTAAAGAACTGAACAAACATGTTGGCAATGGTTGGCTGTCGCTAGACACAGTATTGCGATAGTGCATAGCGGACGGAAATCCATGTGCCTTACGCTTTGAATTTACGAAACCATAAAATGATTTAGGATTGTTAATTAAATTCTTTTTAATTTTGCATAAATATGACTTATAACATTTCTTATTTAATGCAAAGTAGCTATGCCTCAAAACCGAGTACTTTATGTAATCGCTGTGTAAGCCCGTTCTTTTATACAGTTTAAAAGAGTGCGGCTTTTTATTTTTCAATTTTTTAAGCTCTTTAGTGAACCATAATTGTGTTGGTTCTTCACGAACAATATTACGTTTTGGTACATACTTTCGAAACAAATTGAAAACAGTATCATTAAAGTGGTCAACGCTACGCTAGACGTCATCTCTATATATTCGCAAAGATAACTTGGAAACTTCTTTGTTTTCTGAAATTAGCCTTCGCAAAAACATATCTAGTACTTGAACTTTACAACTTATTATTAAGGGGANGGACATTAAACTGTTTCATGAAAGAAACATATATATATTTCAAACTATTGTCATGTCTATTAGCATTATACAATTTATGGTATTTATTCCTTTCATTTTTTTAATTTTTAAGATTCGGGGTGTACTAAGGCAATTTGAGAATTCTGGGCGGAATTTTTTTTTTGCTGTCTCTTGTTATTGTATTTGATACATAATTTCGCTGCTTGCTACCACTTTGCATTGAGGTGCTCTCGTACTCTTCGAAATATGGAATAGTACTTTTGCATTTCGTGCAATCCGTGCATCGTGCAAGACTTCGAGAATACCCCTTATGTATTGCATTTATGATT